ATATCTATCTATCTATCTATCTATCTATCTATCTATCTATCTATCTATCTATCTATCTATCTATCTATCTATCTATCTATCTATCTCTATCTCTAATTTCTAGCTACAAGGTCAGGTTTTTAGAGTTTAAAAAAAGATATAACTGATGTCCAGGGTGACACATGGCCATTAGCATTTTGATCCACAGCTACCCAGAACCTGCTGGGTGTGTGAAACGGAGTTTGTTTAGCCTAAGTAAACACCGGCGGCTTGTTAAAATTCAGGTCTTTTGCTAGCTTGAGGAAGATTCAGGTCACTCTGCTTGCTGGCGGAACAGAAATCAATATATTGCGGACTTCCCTTTCGCTCACCCACCCACACACACCCACCCAAAAAAGCAAGTAAAAATCCATTGCAAACTCAGCTACCTTTTGGGCACAACGTTTCTCAACAGATGGAGAAAATAGATTTATAACTAGCTGAGAAAGAATAATAAATACAGAGAGGTTCCTTTTTTTTCCAGGAAGACCAGTATATTAGGTTAATTCTGAAGCTGGAGACAATAAAATTTGATTTAGCCTACTTCAGTTTCCATTTCCTCAAGCAATGACTCCATGTGCCTAAAGCAAAGAAAACAATACACGACTCTTAAAGATATTTACACACTCCACTCTATCGGGAATTGGCGTGGAGGTTTAACAACACACATATAGTAATTTAAACAAGAGACAACAGCTTTGTTAGAAAAACAGCAAAGGACGGGAAAACAGTGCGATACATTAACCAGCAAGGCTTGGTTTTAAAAAGCTAAAGGAGAAATTAATTCTTTGCAATGAAAAGTTGCAGGGAGAATAGGAGCAAACAGCCTTAGAAAGGAGATACGGCAAAATCAAAAAATGGTTCCACCTTAGCGTACTTCCTCTCACCAGGTGACATGGAGAAGTGACTCACCTGAGCATCTCAAGAGACTGACAAGTGGATTACTAAGCAGTTTCTCCTCCCTCCCCTTCCCACCGCCCCCTGCGATCCTTAGGGACCTTCAGATGTATTGGAAATTCTTGAAATTCTGCAGGCACCAAATTGCAAAAGACTGCTATAAAAATAGCGTTGCCTTGTAGAAGACATAGAAGTGGGTCATTTTAACAGCACAAGAGCTGGGCAACCATTCTCTGGAACAACCAACCATTCCTTATTCTCAGTTGTTATCAATATATTCTTCCCCAGATGTGTTGCGTTCACAACCCCCAAAGTCTACAGATGATAGAAATGAAAGCCTACTTAGGATCACCAATATGGCAATTGTTGCTAGAATTGCTGGTAGCAGTATTAAGGTAAAGGTAAAGGTTCCCGTCGCACATATGTGCTCGTCGTTCCCAACTCTAGGGGCGGTGCTCATCTCCGCTTCAAAGCCAAAGAACCAGCACTGTCCGAAGACGTCTCCATGGTCATGTGGCCGGCATGACTAAACGGCGAAGGCGCACAGAACGCTGTTACCTTCCTACCAAAGATGGTCCCTATTTTTCTACTTGCATTTTTTACCTGCTTTCGAACGGCTAGGTTGGCCAAAACTGAGACAAGTAATGGGAGTTCACTCCGTTACATGGTGCTAGGGATTCAAACTGCCGACCTTTCATATTGACAAGCTGAGCCTTAGCCAATGAGCTACCCCTTCCCAATAACCAATATTAACATACTTATTATTAATGAAAATACTCCATAAGTAAGCCCATTCTCTGGAACATGGACTGTGCTCATGTAACCATCTAGATAATGCATAAAACAGTCATAAATATATAAGTATACTACTTGATTTTGCCTGATTATTAACATTTGGGTCAAGCTCCATTCTTCTTCTAGCAAACCGAAGGTGTGAATCAACAAAGCACTGTTGTCCGTTGTTGCTCTGGACCTGATCATCCGTGGAAGTCCTTGGTGTTCTCTGAGCTTGGTGATTTTCTCGTAGGCATTTCATGACCCAACTAGGTAACAACATCAAGTGCTAGAAGGGGGGGGGGGAGGTTCTTCTGATGATTAGACCTATTTGGTAATGAACCTTCTGCAAGAAAGCCACCAAGCTCAGAGAGCACCAAGGACCTCATTGTTCAATCCTAAACTACAAATATTCTCTTCTACTAGTAGCTGGTCATCTTCCAAGCCTTGCAATCAAGCCATCTTTGCCACCTTAAGGGTCAGCCCATCCAACATCCAAGGAAACAATGGCCATTCTGTGCTCATTTTATTTGCTCACATGATTAAAACGATGGAAACAGCAGAAGTGGTGCGGTGGCCTAGAGGGGGAGCTCTCACCTCGCAATTGGGAGGTGGTGAGTTTGATCCTAGGTAGTGGCAGATATTTCTCTCTCTGGGCACGATGAGAATATATATCTGTTAAACAAAACTCCACCCTGGCGATAGGAAGGCATCCGGCCAGTAAAACACTCAGTTCCATTCAGTTGCCCAGACTCCACCCTACAAGGGATTATGGAGGCGGAGCTCTCACCTCACAGTCAGGAGGCTGTGAGTTCAATCCATAGGTAGAGGCAGATATTTCTCTCTCTGGGAAAGATGAGAATATACAGTATATCTGCTGAACAAAACTCCACCCTGGCGACAGGAAGGCATCCGGCCAGTAAAACACTCAGCTCCATTCAGTTGCCCAGACTCCACCCAGCAAGGGATTATGTGGTTGTTAAATGATGATGATGATTATAATGATCGAAAGGCACGAATCCTATGGAAAGACCACACCATTTTAACCATTAGGACATGTCAATCTGTGGGGTCAAAAGAGAAGAGCAGGTCTGTTACCTGCAGAACCAGCTGCTGCCAAGCAGTCGCTAGGGGCTGCCCACTGCCAATGTTGCAGACGTTTATGCGATCCGAGGGCTGGTTGGCCCGCTCGAGTTGCAGGGAGACGTTGCGGCGTTCTTCTTCCAGGGCTCGGGTGAGCCGCTCAAAGCGAGCCTCCTGCTCTTTGACAGAGGCCAGGATGCTCGCTGCGGATCGGATATCATAGTCATCCATGGTTGTTGGGATCAAAAAGTCTGGCTTGGTCACTGATAGGGCAAAGGACAAAAATTAGGGTGACACAGGAGTAAAATGGCAGAGTTGTCCAACCTTGGCAACCTTGTGGACTTCACGTTTCGGCCCAGCTCCCCAAACACAACAAACCCTCTGAAGTCAACTCAAAAGATTCCTTTATTAGGAATGCCGGCAGCCCCGGCAAAAAGTTTCTCTCTCTCAACACAAGCTAACAAGTCTGTCTGGCAGGGAGATGGATAGTTGTCTGCCCACATCTGTTCATCTCTGCCCCCTGCCTTTTATCCCCAGAGCTAGGGTGGGGCCTTGCTGGCAGCAATGGCTCTTCTGTCCCAAGGACCGGCCCATAGATTTTCACTACTCTCTTCTCCTCTGCCTTCTGCACATCAGGCACTGGACCCAGCTTTTCCTCCTCTTCCTCATCAGCCACCTCCAGTCCTGTTGACTCTCCATCTGAGGGCTGAAGGACGGCCCAGGCTCCACCTCTGTCTCTCTCTGTCTCTCTGTCCCTCTCTCTGTCTCTGTCTGTCTCTCTCTCTCTCTCTGTCCTTCTCTCTGTCCCCCCTCTCTCTGTCGCCCCCTCTCTGTCCCTCTCTCTCTCTGCCTCTCTCTCTCTCCCTTTGTCCCTCTCTCTGTCTGTGTGTGTGTGTCTCTCTCTGTCTCTCTGTCCCTCTCTCTGTCTCTCTGTGTGTGTGTCTCTCTCTCTGACTCTCTGTCCCTCTCTCTCTGTGTCCCTCTCTCTCTCTGTCCCTCTCTCTCTGTCCCCCTCTCTCTGTCTCTGTCTCTGTCTCTTGTGTCTCTCTGTCTGTCTCTCTGTCTGTCTCTGACTCTCTGTCTCTCTGTCTCTCAGTCTCTGTCTCTCTCTCTTTCTCTCTCTCTCTCTCTCTGACAGCCCAATTCCCTCTTCCCCCTTGGAGCTCTCGGGTTGCCTTGATGCTGACCTTGACTCCCATGCCGCCTCCTCCTCCTCCTCCTCTGATTTGACTGCTGGAGGGGCCGGTGGCCAACAGTCACAACACTTCAACTTGACTTACAACCATTCTTTTAGTGACCATTCAAAGTTACAACAGCACTGAAAAAAGGAGCATTTTTCACACTTTTCACTACTTTTCACACCGTTGCACCATCCCCACTTGCAACTGGCTCATCTATATGATGGTCCCAGGATCACGCTGTCCCTTTTTTGCGACCTTCTGACAAGCACAGTCATTGGGGAAGCCAGAATCACTTAACAACCATGCGACTAACTTAACAACTGCAGGGATTCAGTTAACACCCATGTCAAGAAAGGATGTAAAATGGGACAAAAGAATTCTGGGAGCTCGAAGTCCACAGGTCTTAAAACATCACCAAGGTTGGACCCCTCTGACATAGATAAAAGTCCCCCAACAAGGCAACTCAAAAAACACTTCCAAATTTTAACGATAGAATCTAAGATATGTAAGCAAACCGAAGCGGAACACTTCACACCACATGCTGCAAAGTGCTTCAGAGATGAACAGCAAAATGCAATTGACAGACCAAAAAAGGATAAACTTGTTTCCATGCTTGCATGCCGTATGCAGGGGTGAAATCCAGTTGGTTCTGACAGGGTCTGGAGAACCGGTAGCAGAAAGTTTGAGTAGTTCGGAAAATCAGCAAATGTCACCTCTGGCTGGCCCCGCCCCATCTATTCTCTGCCTCTCGGGTCCCCGCTGATCAGGAGGGAATGGGGATTTTGCAGTATCTTTCCCCCAGAGTCGGTTGGGAATGGGGATTTTGCAGTATCCTTCCCCCTGGAGTAGAGAGGGAATGGGGATTTTGCAGTATCCTTCCCCCTGGAGTGGGGAGGGAATGGGGATTTTGCAGTATCCTTCCCCTGGAGTGGGGTGGGAATGGGGATTTTGCAGTAACCTTCCCCTGGAGTGGGGAGGAATGGGGATTTTGCAGTATCCTTTCCCTGGAGTGGGGTGGGAATGGGGATTTTGCAGTAACCTTTCCCTGGAGTGGGGAGGGATGGGGATTTTGCAGTATCCTTTCCCTGGAGTGGGGT